GTAATACGAGTGTAATGGTGACTAAAGGGTGTTTTTTCATGTCCTCTATGCTTTAACTACGAAAATATTTGATTTACAAATAAGGAATCCTACTTGGCGGAATTTCATTTATTACGGTAGGGTCTAGAACCGATTAACCGCGATAAACGAGGGGTTCACTGTATAGTGGCTTCTCAACCTAGTTCCCAAGTCACTTCATTCCCTGCTTGGAGCCAAATACCCTTCCTTATGCTTCTTCTGTGTGTGTGTGTGTGTGTGTGTGTGTGTGCGCACGCATCTTATCTATGTCCTCCCTCCACCTACCACAAACACTACTTTACATTGCCTAATCAACAAAGATAGTAACATATCACTGCAAGGATGTGACTCAAACCAGCAGCCGGTTAAGAACAAAGTCTCTAAGACAGTGGTCCTCAACCTTCCTAATGCCGCGACCCTTTAATAGTTCCTCATGTTGCTGTGACCCACAACCATACAATTAATTTCATTGTTACTTCATAACTGTAATTTTGCTGTTTTGAATCGTCATGTAAATATCTGATATGCAGGATGTATTTTCATTGTTACAAATTGAACATAAAGCATAGTGATTAATGACAAATACCTGATATGCTGGATGTATTTTCACTGTTACAAATTGAATATAAAGCAGTGATTAATCACAAAAATATGTAATTATGTTTTGTAAAATATTTATTTCTAATTACAAATAAATGAAATTTTGTCGTGAAGCATGGTATAGCATGGGTAACAGTCTTCACACTGGGTACTCACTCATTTGTAGGCGTATCTGCACATGGGCGGACCCACGTGGAAACGGATAGAGGAGCCGTGTCTTAGCCTAGCCCGGAAATATGTTTTCTGATGGTCTTAGGCGACCCTGTGAAAGAGTCGTTCAACCCCAACGGGGTCACGACCCACAGGTTCAGAACCAATGCCCTAAGATATCTGGTGTTTTGGAGGGGAAAGCTATATATGTTTCTGAGCAAGAGAGAGGGAGAACAGCTGAAATCGTTGTTGGATATATAGAAAGGCGATCACAGGGAATTAAGAAACATTGAAGGTTTTGAACTGGGAATTTTAAATTTCACTTAAAAATATAACTCATACTGCAATATAGAGTAGGTAACGGTACAAGCTGTAAAAGATGGTTGTGGTTCGGTAATAAGCAGCATTAACGCGAGGAGACTGGACAAAGGATCTATTATGAAGGCCAGGATTGGCATGGAAGAGATGACCAAGGGGAGTTACTGCACAATGATCCCTAAGCTTTGGGCTTGAATAGCTAATGTGCTTCAAGCATAATGAACACCTTCCAAGATGTCAAGATGGGAGGTAGCTATTTAAGTGGGAGAACAACTGCCCAGAACTGGAGCTACAGAACTGAGTTAGCCAACTTGTTTTTATTTTATTTTAAAAACATTTTATTAGGGGCTCATACAACTGTTATCGCAATCCATACACACATCAATTGTGTAAAGCGCATTTGTACATCATTCTCAAAACATTTTCTCTCCACTTAAACCCCCGACATTAGGTCCTCATTTTTCCCCTCCCTCCCGGCTCCCCCCTCCCTCATGAGCCCTTGATAGTTTGTAAGTGGGTATTTTGTCATATCTTGCCCTGTCCGACGTCTCTCTTCACCCACTTTTCGGTTGTCTGTCCCCCAGGGAGGAGGTCACATATAGTTCCTTGTAATCGGTTCCCTCTTTCCTACCCATTCTCCCTTTACCCTCCCTGTTTCGCCACTCACACCACTGGTCCTGTAGGGCTCATCCTCCCTGGATTCCCTGGATTTTCAGTTCCTATCTGTACCAGTGTACATCCTCTGGTCCAGCCAGACTTACAGGGTCGAATTCGAGTCATGGTAGTGGGAGCAGGGAGGGAACATTTAGGAACTAGAGGAAAGTTGTATTTCTCATCGTTGTTACATCGAACTTGTTTTTAAAGGCAAACTAATATTCCAGTTCTAGATCACTGTAACATTGGAAATCCAAGCAGATAAACAAGCAAAGGAGACTGAGAATTACCAACCAGTGACACAGGTGGGAAACGAAGAGGCATTAAAGACAACCCAAGGAGAACTATTTTCAGGGAGCCTTCAGTGAACTTTATGAAAATACTGCTGAGAGGATAAACTGATAAAAGTGACTATTCATCTCATCTGGCAATATTGAGAACACTGTATTAACCTTGTAGTTTCATTGTTGTGGGGAAAGCAGTTCTACTGAAATACACAGCATAGGAGGTAAAATTTGACAAACTGC